TACTATTTTCAACAGTTAAATCATCATCCATCAATCCATCAATCCATCAATCCATCAATCCATCAATCCATCAATCCATCAATCCATCAATCCATCAGTCCATCAGTCCATCCATCAAATAGTTAATCGTCAGATTCAATTACCTAATGCAGTTATCGTACGATGATTGAGTAAATCGTTTCCCTGACGTTACTTTACCATAACATCCCAAATGATAATAACCTGTAAATTGTATAAATTGAATTGTAATATTCATTAATAAGAGGACGTGCAACGAAAAACCGTGTGTAATGTGTTTTTTACCACATTTTTAGTCTAGAAATTAGTGAAAATCATTCTTTGCTTTCAATCGAGAGCGCGCGCAAGACGTGATCGTGTCAGTACTGTGTACATGTCCTCTTATTCATGACTCACTCTAATCAGCCAATCAGCACGCGTGAAGTGTGGTAAAATTATCATCGTTATCATCTTGAGTAATAGTTCTGTCAGCATCGGTGCGTTGTTGTCAGACAAAAGTATTAAAACTCACCCACAACAGGATCGTTACAGTGTTGTTTCCGTGTCTCCACGGCTCTTGGATACGAGTCGAATAGATTATATTTCATCAATACTTCCCGTTGTTGGAACTGATACAGCATTACCAGGACAAAAGGCATCTGCCACCATGATAAACCCTGCATGAGGTACCCTTTGATCATCATAAGTAACTTGATAAATGCTGGAATCATGTTGGAAAACTAAACCTAAGGACTTAAGGAATAAGAAATATTTAACTTACGTATCAAATCGTTAAAAAAATTTGTATCTTGTATTATTTTGTATCTATCTAAGTCCGTTTGGTTTATAATGGACGTCATGAATTCAGTTCTGTGAGTCCATGCACGTTCAGCCAAGACCGTTCCCGATCTCTTTCGGACCGCTCATATTCGAGATACAAGAAGCTGCTGACTTTTTCACACGTGACCGCCATTTTCTGGTTCATCAAGATTACAGCAGTGATTTAGTACACAGGGACACTGACTACAACATAAAGTGAGTGGTTTTCAGGGATGCGCTTGCTGATCAATTTGAACTATTGAGAGAACTATTGTTGAGCAATGTCCTAGAGACTTTCACAGGCTTGGTGTTAAAGGTTCACATTCATCCGAGAACACTTGCGCGAAGAAAGATCTCTAACTTTGATTTGAACCGATCAACAACTTTCTGATCTTTTTTTAAAACAAAATAAATAATCTCAAAGGTTTTCGGATCCAAATGGGCATTAAAAACGCCCAAACTAACCTGAAAAACAAAAACTCCCCGAAAAGTGACGAAGGGCGTGCGGATCAGAACGACCTCCGTGTTTTGCATGAATCCTCATATCACATCATCTTATCATAGTTTGATATTTTTTAATTTCACAACGATATTTTTAAAAAACATAATACACTTAATTATTTATAAATTCAAAGAGTTTAGGTGTATGTAACCTTACTTTAAATGGCTACTTGGACGAAAATTACGAAACAWTTGAAAAGACTTGGAAATSAAATAGACCTATCCATATGGGTCTAAAAATCATGACGCAACAGATTTCAAGAAGATATTGATACAAATCCCTAATAATTTGAGAAACAAAGGTTGGAGTAAATGACGTCATTTACTCCATCCATGCCATTTGTTCTTCCATCTTTTGAATCAAAATTTCTCTGATAATTCCAAAACAAATATTTTCCCGCAATTGTTTTTAATAGATATAAATGAGTCATATATTTGTATTGCTTAAAGTTTTGAAATAAGGGAATTTTCATACAAGTAGCGCATGCAGTCTTACGCAACAGGAAGGTATAGTTGTACCAGCAGTGCTAGGTTTTTCAGGATGTCTGCGCCTCTTTTATTAGGAATGATTAATTCATTATTTTTTTTTTCATTTTTTCTGAAAATTATTCATTTATTTATTTTATACGTTATATTGTATATTGTATTATATTTATTATTATTGAAATTGATATATTATCTTTTAGATTAGAATCTTTTTTATTATTAGGTATTTGTATATGGAAATTGATATTTTAGATTATAACTTTTTCCATAATTATAGGATATTCATATTCATATTCGTAGATGTATATCGGCTTGATGCGAAAGTGTTGCTGAATAATGAAAGTAGATGTAGATGAAATATTATTGCACGAAGAAGCTGACGTCAATATCATGTCTTACTCTTGAAATCGATCATTGACAGTTAGCCCTTGGCCAAGCATAACCTAGTATATGTATAGAAGAACTAATTACTATTTTTTGTCGTAATTGTTTTCATATCACTTGTTTAAATCAAAAAGAAACTTTAATTAACCTTGATTTTTTTGACATGTTTCTGTTCTTTGTTGAGAACTTTTTAACATATAAATCTGTTCAAAGCCACAGTTCATCTTGAAATCGTGAGAAGTTTACAATGTCTTTCCGTATGGTCTTGCTTTAGGGTAGGTTCAACAATATTTCCAATTTTTTTACAAAATCCAGTAACCCAAGGTAACGGTAGTAATTACGACATTCAGCTATTAAAAGAGATTTATGGATTGACTTGTTATCATGATCAGATACACCTTTTTAGGGTACCATTCTTGTAATTGATATACATATAAGATGACTCTATTGTAAAAATGGTTGCTAAGTATTGTTTTAATGTTCTAAATCTGTACAATAACTTAGTCTCAGCTAGTATACCTTGTTTGTTAAAGTTAAATTTTATGTTCTAATGTACCTTTTTTTGGTATTTATGGAATAAAGAATTATTATTATTATTATATATATATATATATATTTTTTTTTACAGAGCCTACTTGTATTTGAACAAACTTTTGTTAAAAACTGTTTAATTTTTTTTGAAACAAACTGTGCTAAAATCACATTTAAAAAAATGCACTCCAAGTAATAATGTTCTGGTCGCTTTTTGTCAAGTATTGCATGGTTCAAATATAATTATCTGATATGATTTGTAAATGAACTAAAGTTTTTGAGTCTTAGTGAAAAAAGGAGTGAGATATTTCTATTTGCTATCAGTGATCGATCTTGTGTGAAAATCAGCGTGTGTTAAGCAATCGCATTGTCCTATATGTATATAAAATGCACAGCTAAACTAGCAGTTCCTTTCACATTGTGTTTATTTTGAACCATTTAACCGAGTAAAGGAAGAATAGTTTTTTTGACGCGCGTGCTTCAGGTGAGTCCGCTCTAATCGGTAAGCGGTAGGAACTTAGGCAACCGCGAACAAAATCGGCGACGGATAAATAAGAATCAGGATTTTTAAATTCAGCCGGATAGAAATATCGATCTGCTTCTGAACTCTAACGGTGAGCCAAATTCGCTGAATAATGCTTTTATGTTCTGTGGCTCGTGTCGCCTGCATTTTAAAAAAATCTCCGTTTTCACAAAGATCTCTATCGTACACGAGTTTTTAAAGTTATATTACCTCTTGCCCGGGTGTTTTGGGAAAGCCACGTTTTTGGCGCGAAACTCCTTCGACGAAGTGTAAACGTAAAATCACGACAATGTTGTAAACTAAACCTGCCTCTCTGAATGTTTTAGAACTCAGTGACCTCATTGAAACATAGAGAACTATCATAACATTAACTTCATATACAATATAAGTTGATTTAACTGAAAAAAAAAAAAAAATGATATTACTGCATTTGTCATTTTATTCTACGATGGTCAACGCGTTTCCATAGCGTTGATAATTGCTGTAGATTTGAAAATAAAGTCCAGAACAGTATACAATTTTTTATATAAATACACCCCAAATGTGGAATCCCTGCCATGCTTTACCTTTTAAAGACTTTCCTTATTCAAGAGATATATGATAGTGGCCAAATGTTGCTCCTTTCTTGAGCAAGTTGGATGTTTGACTGATAATAACACCCGATCAAGTAGTCGTCTCTGGTTCCTAGCGTATTGTAATTGGTTGAAAAAGACTGCTTATGATTGGTTGATTGCTAGATAGAGATTAGCTGGGCGTTGATTTTGATATTGTTTGTCTCATTGTTTGAGGAGTTGGGATTAATAGGCGTTGATTTGATATTTAGTCGTTTTAGTTAGGGCCTGATTATATGAACCGTGCTGGACCGGTTGACCACGCTGTCTTGTGGGTTTGTTCTTCAAGTCTCGCGATAATATGAGACGGAATTAGACGGGCTTTTCAAGCTGAATTAATCACATTTAGCCGCGAAGAATGGCGGGAGGGGGTTAAATTTCTTCAATATGCAAGCTCATCATTTGTATCTATCCTTAGCTTCAGAATTTAGARTTTCAACAGTGTTCACAGCCTCTTTTTCCATATTTTCTTCCATGAAACTCGAAACGCTCATGCGTGATACGTAAAATAGCTGACACATTTCTGGTCCGCGGGGGCGCACTAAACCGGCTAAGAAAGCCCTCTTGCAAAGGCATCGATTATATGATTACATTCCGCAGACTAAGATTAAACTAAGGCCTTTGAAGGTTTTGAAGCAATGTTTGAAAATTCGAGTTGTCAGACAAAATATATGTGCATCTGATCATGCGTAAATTGATATTGTCCATGGAGAGCGATTTTAATATTAATCATTTTTAATATTTAATTGTTTTTGGTGCTGGTGAACGCAGGTCAGTAGTTTGAGGCAAGTATCGTTGACTGAGTTAAAGATACTAAGCAAGTTGAGACCGCGCGTAAGACCTTATATGGCCTGCTTGATATAACAACTATTGCATTATAAATGTTTTTTTTTTCTTTTATTTAGGCTCTTCTCCGCCATAACAGTGTACGTGCACGCTATCATGGGTATCTAATTGTATTCTGAAATCCTTTAAGACTTTTAAAGATATTCAGATAAAAATCAACTTCGATGAGCATGTATGCTATAAAAAAGTAACGATAAATCGTACCAGATTACACCATATCTTCAATGCTGTATGCACGGAAGTCAGTCAATACAATTCGTTATTTTTTTTGTATTGAAGTCGAAAAATATCTCAAATATGGGAACCGTTGGTTGAAATAGTTCCATAGCATCCACCAGGCTTCAGTCGGAGTGAATATGCTAGACAATGTTTCTTACACTTTCTAATGAGCAAAATTTACCCCTGTTATATAGTAATTTTTATATTATTCATTACATGTTCACAGATAATGAGATTTTTTGGTATACTGTATGCAAACTGGCAGCTTCTTAATTTATTTGATATGTTAATAATATGTTGATAATTTTTAAATTATGAACATATAGTTAATTTTTAAAAACGTCTCTTACGTTTAACTTACGTCCACATAGAAACTAGACAAGATGCTTACCGCTAGTTTGCTCAAAATCTCTCTTTGCCAGTCTTGATCAATCTAGTTTTCTTCGGCTCACTAGTTCAGCTTAAAACAAATTGTTATGAAAATCCAGCAAGAAAACCGTTAACCCAAGAGTAGCTTTTGACGATTGTCAAGTTCAGTAAAAAAACAAAAGGTGCCAAAGAAGTTTGCAAAGGCCTCCAGGCCTAAATATTCTATTAACAAAATGTAACCTCTGCATGCGATTAATCGCTTGAATACCACTTTCTACATTTAGAACTATAGATGATTTCCACTAGATTGAGTGCAAGTATCATGTATAAAACAACCACAACATTGTAAGGACTAGTGATTTTTGTTGTAGCGTTGACGCACTTGTGTTGTGAAGGCGTCAAGACCGAGTCATTTCGACGCTAATTATTGTCTATTGAGAACTTTATCTAGTGATCATGTGAAGGTGAACTTTCCATATACACATCCATTTCAAAACACGTTGAATGCTGCATGTAATACTATATTTTTTACCGTATACTCTATCCCGGCCCGGTACGGAAGTAATGCATTATTGTTGCTTTCACTGGACTACATGCAAGTGGCGTTACATAATGATAATTCCGTCGAAATAGACTTCTGAACCTTTTACGTCACCACTTGATTTCCAATGCATTGTGGGATCAGTTTCTAGAGAAAACAAAAGAAATCCGCCATGTCTCTGTCCCAAACATATCCTACAATTCATTGCGTGTACGCTACATGGCCTAAAAGCTACAGAGGTCTATTGCTTTCCCTTGAAATTTACTCTTCACTTTTCGGAGATGGCATAATCACTTGGTACCATGGAAACGGTCTGGAAACTGTGGGAGGTGTTTCAAAGAACAGTGAATTTCAGTTGAAATTTTTAGATCATCTAGTGCAAAGCATGAGTTTCCTTTCTAAATGTATCTCTATACTTGTGAAGTGTGATAGTGGGTTGTGCCTGAATGTGGTAGTTCCATGTTGCTGTTGGTCAAGAAAAGATTGCCCTTCAAGATTAATGTTTGCGCTTCGTGATATTTTTCCAAAACAAGTTTTTACCGCTTATCGTTGTCCAATGAACGTAAAAAAAATCTTTTTATTCACGCGATTAACACGAGATATCTAGGTCCTTCCGCAGGGAATTGCCGGGATGGCTTGCTTAGAAACTGCCTCAAACGTCGTACAAACGAGTGGCCAAAAATTAAAACTCGTGGTGCAATCATGACTGTTTGAGAATAGAGACAGGGGCGTAAGCAAAATTAGACTAAATGAGGTAAAGGAACACGTGTACGTGTTATTACAGCGGAAGCCACAATTTACTCCACCCTGTCCTGTGTGACAATCTTATCACCAGATAAACTAAAACTATTATAAAAATGTCGAGTTTCATAAAAATTGCATTATACCCTTGGTATAATGTTTGTTTTTTTCCAAAATACGAATTTAATAACATGATATCATTAAAATTTCAACAGAAATAAGATCCAATGAAAATCCAATAAGTTTTTTTTCTTCTCTCCGAATATAATAATTTCAGAACCAAAATACAAGTTAATTGTGACAATCACTCATCATCCCGGATGCCACTGAAGCTGAATATATTACTTATCTGGAAAGAAGTACAAAGAGAGAGTCCAGTCCCAATACAATTGTTGGAAAAATTACAAACTTGATGAAAAATTAAATAGAAAATAGAAAGAGAAATTTGCAAGCTATTCATTTTGCTTGTAATTGCTCGCTCAATAGTCGACATTTTCAACTAAATCCCAATCAAAAAACGCCGTTTTCGCGTCTTCTATTTTCTCGCCAAGCTTTTCGATGTCGGCAAATGCTCTGAGCAAAACGTCTTTCATCGTCTGTGTATTGACCCAGTTGATTCCGGTTCGAGTGTAGTAATCAGCAGTGAAGTCGTCATTGAAAAACCTGAGAAAGAAAGCGATATATATATTTAGAGCTTTTTAAGTAGATAATATGTACTTATTGACTGAGTGGGAGGGCCGTACGGGAAAATATTTGGCTCGAGGTTATGCCGTACGGACCGAGCGCAGCGAGGTCCGTACAAATGACCGARAGCCAAATATTTTCCCGTACGGCCCGACCTAACTCAGTCAATAAGCATTTTATTATATGACAGCGTTTTTTAATGTAAAAAAATAAATAAAAGCGCGCGGAATTTCAAGCCGGGAAAATACGGGTTTGTACGGACCTGTCGCGAAAAGGCGTACGGACCCCATCACGTGACCATTTTCCAAAGGTTTCAGTGAGAGCGCGCGTAGGGCCGAAATACGGGTCATATGATAATTATCCAGTACATCCAATTCACATGATGCATTGGTGTTATTAAAGTATCAATTGGATAATACTAATAATATTCGATAATATAATTCGAATGCTCGATCATTTTCATCAACATCATATCCAAACTTATACCTATCAGTCATCATTCGTCTGTTAGCCATAAACAAGAACACTTGAAACGGTGTTTCGCCAAAGGCAAAGCCATCCGGCCGACGCTCTGCTAAAGAGCCTACCAGGAGATCAACGCTGTTAATGTCGTTGTTGTAGACATTTCTTAGCAGTTCGACCTGTTCCGGTGTAACGTCAAAGTCCTCAAACCTTTTTACTGGTGAAAGATGAAGAAGCTCTCGGAACTTGTTGTATCGTGGAACACCTCGCTCTCGGTCACGAATGACATCGATGGCTGCTAGGTCTATGAGCTAAGAGAAGAAGACATATCATTAAGTTTATCAGATATAACCCGTATTTCGGCCCTACGCGCGCACTTAAAAAACCTTTGGAAAATGGTCACGTGAATGGTCCGTAAGCCTTTTCGCGACAGCTCCGTACAAAGGCGTATTTTCCCGGCTTGAAGTTCAGCGCTTTTATTTATTTTTTTTTACATTAAAAAATGCTGTCATATGATAAAATGCTTATTGACTGAGTTAGGTCGGGCCGTACGGGAAAATATTTGGCTCTCGGTCATTTGTACGAACCTCGCTGCGCTCGTTCCGTACCGCATAACCTCGAGCCAAATATTTTCCCGTACGGCCCTCCCACTCAGTCAATAAGTACATATTGTATTATATCAAATGAGACGAATTGAAAGGTATAAGGATTGACGCTTTCCTTAGTGGTTGACTGATAAAATGGAATTTTCACATGGATAAGTTCAGTGTTCAATTTTCTTCAACTTTTTCTTACGTTTTCTTCGTTCATGTTAATAGAAAGACCTCTGAAGCTTTTACGTCATTTACCGTATACATGCAATGGAGGATATTGATTTGAGACAGAAATGGCGGATCTCTTTTGTTTTCTCAATCAAATCATTGTTTATTCCGGTGGTGGGAACTAGCGGTAAACTAATGTGAGTTGCGTCGGTGTTTGTAAAGAAACAGTTGCGTAAAAAGATAAATTAAACACCGTAAGAAAGTAGGTGAAGGAACTTAAGTAGGTGAAGKAACTTGTTTACTCCCTCAATTTGGTATTTCCTTCTCGCATAAATGCATTATATCCATTATTTACTCTCTCTTTATTGCTCCATTTCCATTTTTTCTTTTATKCCTTTTAAATATCAAATCATTACCCTTTCAAGCCCATGCCCCTGGTGAGCCGGCACTATCAGGTCAGTGGTAGTAGCTGGATAGTTGTTGAGCACCAGTGCCCCTGGGTTCTCCGTTCCAAACGTGAACAAAATGTCCTCTATTCTATTGCTGTCGAAAACCTTGAATGATTTGCCAAATGAGAAGTTTGGTAGGCTGTAGTTGTTCCCTGTTTTGGCCCCTACGAAAAACATAAACACAATCGTAAGCGCGTCTCCTACTTACAACATAAGCAAAATCAATAGCGTATCTTCATAAGCATAATATTTCTTTAAAAATAGAGTTTTTGTTTGTGGATATCTGAACATCCTCGGGAACCCAGGGGTAAACTTCTGGTCGTCCCCTAGGTTCCCGAGGATGATATCTGAAAGGCTTCCCTGCACTTCCTCTGAACCCATCGTTGTTTTTGTGCTACTAGAGTAGGACATCTTTCTTACCTGTATCGATGGATCGTATTTCTATATTGTCTGGAAGAAGGGAGTGAAAACGATAAACGGAGATGAATTCTTCTGTTAAAGTGAATGGAGTKCCTTGTGCCCCAAARTCACTTGGGTAACCAATGTTACCATGGATCGCCTATTMARACAAATGTGATTGTAAGTTCGTATTTTGACATRGTGAATGTTCTAAAGTGGCTTCTTGGTCAACTGTGGTTGTTAGAAGTTGCCTTGCACTTGATGTGTTTTGATTTTAGTTAGTGTAGAGTTTTCGAAACGTAGTCTAATCATCCAAATTTCATAGAAATGAAAGAAAGTTATAKTGCTTAGAAGGAGGCAATTCCGGGAGAAAGACCATCTCAGAAAGACCCTTAGGAATAAATTCGAAAAATTAATTTCCGACCACGCTGGGATTCGAACCCACGACCTTTGTACTGACCGATGCTCTACCAGCTAAGCTACAAGGCCAGACTGGGCGCAGGTCGGGGTCAAATTTTAATTCAAAAAGTCACATCTACATACCGTGCGATTCAAGGTGATGTTGTTGGCTGCTAAGTAGTGCTCAACCATTGTGGATATATTRCCAAACCATTCAACCTTGACTGACTCGTCAACAAACTTTTCGTTTAGCATTGTTGGTGTCCACTCTGTGACATGGATCTTGGCGATAAGAGCAGAAGTGATGAGCCTATTAAAAAAACACAGGAGAGTTTTWCAATTGTCTCCTTCACGTTTCCTTGCGCCATATTGATTTTGTTATCGTCTTCAGAACCGCCTTTCTCATCATTACCAACTCGTCATTACCATCATTCGGCACAATCTGCTCATCATCACCATCACTATCATTAAAAGTGTCTTTATTGCCGGAGTCATCGCCTTCATCAACATTTTAAATAATATGCCAAACGAAAAAACGACCCAGACAAATATAGTTGGACGACCAGACATTTCTTATTGTATTGCAGTTTTTTTGAGTTGTAGACGCCTTCAAATTCTACCCACGCTTAACCAACATGTATGATGCACTATCCAACAGCAYTCAACAACACGAATAAGGTGGTCAAAAATGATGCTGTTCTATGATCCAACTATTCCCATTTGCCATCACTCTCGTAAACCAAGGAGCTCAAAAGCTCAATGGTTTATCCCTTAACGTTTTAGGCTCTATACCGTGCAGTATCGTAGAGTTTTTGGTCGCTCCAATAAGGATTCTCCTTGAGTAACACGTCACAGATAGCGTTGTGTTCACGAGTGAAGACGTTGTGTAACAGACTAAGGCCGATCCACCAGTTATCAGAAAAGCCTGAAAGATATGAATACAAGAATAAGAGTGAGGAACAGTATCAAAATCCAGGACAAGCTGACAGTTTTAGGTAGAATAGGATGAATGAGATACCAAATATATTGTATTTGTCTTTGCGTTTTGTACATCATTAGACTGATGATGGTTTTGCAATAAAACCGAGAAATATTGCTCTCACGTAATCTCCTATTCTATTCGATGTTGAATATCAACTAGAATGAATATATTCGGTATCTCATTCATTCTAGGAACACGGCACCGTAATTGATATACCTAAGCCAGTTCACTGACATTTGAACGATAAATGAAACTTAGTGCCGTGGTCGCCGTATTACAGTGACATGAAATTGTGATATATATACAGGAGAGGTCGAGATACAGTACAGAGATGTTCGTTATGTATAGATGTGCAGGCAGTACAGGATTGTTCGTATGGGTCGTGGTATACAGTTCTCAAGGACGCGTTTCTTAATTGTGAAGGTGCTCGCAAAACAGTTGGGTCGTAATATATGGGGGTGCTCGCTATACAGGGGTGTCCCTAGTTAATATAGAAGTGAATGCAGCTACTGTATACATGTAAAACCGAATGCATACCAGTAATTTCAATGTTTGTTTTCGGATCCAGTGGGAGAAATCCTTCATCGTCMACTTTCAATTTTCCATGTGTTCCGCTTCTAACTCGGCGATTTGTGGCTTCGTTGCTTCCATAGATTTGCGATGCGTCCCACCAGTGCGTCACATAGTTTTGAAAGCTTAGTGGCCTGGAAGGGTCTTCGTTGCAATTATCTGGTCGGGTTCTATCCACAAACCAATTACCTGTAGAATACGTGAAATGCACAGAAAATGAAACAACTGACTGATCGATTGAACAACCAGAAATCTAACTGCTGCAGACAAACTTGTCGAAACAGAACGTTATAACCATGATTAATTGTCCACAGGGGCGGATGAAGAAGGGTATTGTATTAATATAGTACGGTAATATGAGCAACAATTGCTGCAAAACAAGTGGAAAAGCGATGTTGCACGTTTTACTGCGGGCGAACCAAATTGGTTTTAGGTTGAACAAATCCTTATTTCTGATTGGCCAATGCAGTCACCTGATTGTCGTGCGACGTCATTTTGCTGCGAGACAAGTTGGATGGTTTGTGGTAATACGCGCAACATCAAAAAGTACAACGATCTTCTACTTTCTGCAACAAATTCTTTCAATTATTTTGCTGCGAGACAAGTTGGTTTGTGGTAGTAGGTACGCTTAGTATCCCTTTCCAACTTGCTTTGAAGCAATGTAGGACGATTTTACTGCTCGTATTACTCTACCTTACAAACTATTTGAGAGCGTTATCCCATTAAGCTACAAGTCAGTTCAGTTCAATAATAAGCCTTACCACTAAACCTCGTGTAAAACGGATCATCCTTTTCCAGTGGAACACGAATTTGATCTTCTCCAACTATAGGCCGGCCATGATCAAACCAGTCATGCGTCATGAACTGGACCCAGGCTAAAGCAAACAGGTTGAGCCACTTGGCTGGTTTAAACGTATTGCGCTTCAGAAGTCTATTAAATTAAAGGGAGATGAGTTATTTTAAATCCCAGCGAGGTTGCAAATTATTTTTTCTCCCGAAATAACCTCCTTCCTAGCACTATAACAACTTTCCTTTATTTCTATATCATGTATCTCATGCGATCCTTACATGCATCTATGTGTGATGGAAATATTGTTCTAATGACGCAATAGTTATCTGCACAGCTCCCCCATTTCCTGCTGCGCCATATTGAAAGGTAACCGTGCCTTTGCATCGAAACGAGACGACCTCGGAGGTTTAAACAATAGAAACCTGAATATCACTAAATGTAGGTATGAGGACGCTTCAGTTTTTATCAGTTTTCATGCTTATTCGTCTAGCTTTTTGGTGCAAGGGCATGGTTACCTTTTCAAGATGGCGGGAGGAGTTGTGAACGAGACTATTTATTGCTATTTAGCTATTCCTGCGTTCATTGTTTCCTTTCTAAGATGCATATTTATTGTTGAAATAATATTTTATGGAACGAGAGAGAAAAAATATAACCGCTAGCGATAAGGAAAGAAAGAACAAAAAAGCGAAGAAAATAATTATATAGAAAGAGAAAGATGAGACAAACATTATGGGCAAACATTACGGTGAAATAAACGCAAAGAAAAGCGACTCCTTATCCAATTCAGGAATAAAAAACGTGATTAATAATACTGTTTTGTTTATATTGAAGAAATCCGTACTTCCTCGCAACAGTTCGTGGGTTTGGTTCCAACAGTCTCTGTTCATTGGGCAGCACTGTTTCATTGTAGTGGAAATTCCTKCCAAACCGGTAAAACTGGCTTCCCATGACAGTAAGGTTCAAATTGTTACATGAACCATCGAGTGTTCGTGCTTTCTTCATCTCTTCAGTGCAGAAATCTAAAGATGATAACGATCACTCGGTGAATAAAAAATCTACTTGTTTCTAAAACTATTGATATATATTCAAATGACTTTGCGTGATAGACCGTTAGCTGCAATGGTAGTTTCCGTCTGTGATGACGTCATGTTTGTTTTGGCGAAGTGCATCATGGTATTGATGTATCAAGATGGCGGACATCTTATAAAACTGAGCGAGGGAAGACAAAGTTCCTTAGCGAAGTGTTTTTCATTGTCAAGAATGCTTTGGGAGAAGATTATATAAGATGATAGCACACTATAGATTTCCTGGGAAATTATCTTCTGTTGTTTGCAAACAGCCCGAAGCAAAATAACATGACTCGTTTCATTTTGTAATTATTTCGGCACATAATATCAATAAGGGAAAGATCATTTTTGTTGGACTTCATTCAAGAAACYCGAGTAACTTGAAATCACTGAGTCCAGGTTTTGGTGTAAAAGCCAGTTCTAAATGTAAGTTGAAGAACGTTATAAATAAGATACAGCCGTATTCAAACCTTTACTGCGCACCTGTTTTGAAGAGTGAAAAGTATTCATTCCGATCTCCTGGTTTGCTTTTCGAACCACAAAGTTGAGTCCGRTCGCCTTTGCATCTTTTTCTACAATTACATACTTTAGCCTTTTGCTGGATGAGTTTATCGCCACAAAAACAACTGAAATTAAGCAAGAAAAACATGATGCAATTTCTTGCATTGTAACATATTCTGAAGGAGGCAGGCCATATTAACGAAAAGCGAGTGAAAAGAAAAGAACAGCGAGTTAAGACAGTTAAGCATAGATTTTCAACATTCGCTGACAATATACATTTAACCATAAAATAAATTCCTGTTAATCTTACATTATTTTCATATCTTTTTTCACAATTGTTTCCCTGATTAACCCTGTTACAGTATGACATRTTCTTCTTGTTTTACGTCTTGCGTCTAACCGACCACATTGCATTTTGGGAGATAGGAGGGATGTATTTGTATGTCGAAGAGCTGATTGAGACGTAACGTACACCTGACCAATGGTAACGACTGCATGTAGCAATGTTGTAGGGAGGTTTTTTGAATTCAGTCATTTCATTACTTACGTAATCCCGTTGAAGAKCGCGGCGTATGGGTATTTTCTGATTTGACACTCGTCGATGCACGATTGCTGCGTGATACTGTCGCTTTGAAACGCTTTTTGAAATCCAGCTTCTTCAACAAGTTTATTTTTGTTGTAGCATCCTAATAACCTGCGACCTGTTGGAATATRATCGATTTCTGAGAAACAGGAAAATGTCAATCAAGTAACAGCAGTATTTGTCTTTGCTTAAAAAGGAAACCCTAATTTTAGGGAAAAGCGGGAAATGCATGTGGAATGTTGTCGCRGAAGAAATCAGTTTTAGGGAAAAGATTTGAGATGATGAGGACTCAACAAAACAGCGTCTTGTATAGTCTTGACACTCTTACCGAGGACTGGATCCCAGCATTTCATTTTGGTAGAGGGAAGGGGATTTGGATACGAATCAAAGAGATTGYTGTCCATCATTCTCTCACGGTGATAGAAGGTATAAGCCATGATAACTACAGCAGGCATTTTCCACCAAAGGACATTCTTTTTGATTAGAACATAGGCCATTTGAATTAGCTTTAGAAGGCCGGGATCCATGATTGCTTGTCCGTTGACTGTAAATATTGGTAAAATACACAAAATAAATTAAACACTATGCTAGTCGATTCCTCTGGCAACAATTATGAGACTCGTTCCCAGGTCAGTCTCCTATAMTGAGCTTTAATTAAAAGAAAATGACGTCATCGATGCCGATGAGGCCGAAAAGGATTATAGGTATACAAGGAAACCGATTCGTTTGGAMATTTTTCACATTTGCCTCAACGTTAACATTATCAAACATCTTAAATTTGAGCCAATCAGAAAGCAGATTTTATGAACGTTCGCGCAAAGGCTCTCGGATGCAAATGGGTCTATAGAGCAGCATGGGTTTGGTATATTTTGGACATATTGAATGCTTTGACATTAAAGGACTTTGAAAATTTCATCTTAAAGTCATTGATCTAGGCTTAAACTAAAATCTTTAGTCCTTTATGCACCTGCGGTTTATTGAGAATACTAGTTTCGTCCTACGACTTATCAATTCTAAA